CTATGTATTTGAAATTATGATGCTTGCATCATAATGCAATTATGCAATACACATATTTTTAACCAGCTGGAGGTATTGAGTCCAGCCATGTCCGTATGTCTGTCTGCATATGAGAATGCGTATATCTCAGAATATCCAAGGCTATAGTTATCTGTGTATTGATATATATATTCTTCTTTACCATGCGCAGAACGAAATTTTAATTTATTGTCGATATCCTTAACCATTTTCATAATATCGATTTTGAAAAATTGTTAATTATATTGGTTGTTGTAGTACATCTATATAGTGTAGTATAACTTAGCAGCTAGTAACACCAAACTTGGTATCTAGGCTCTCGATTTCTTTGCAGATTAGGAATGTTTCACTTTTTGATAACTCCCCCAAAATGTTATTTTTAGGCTATTCCGTCTAAAGCACACTTTCTTGACAAAGCGTGAATTTTCGATAAGATCATCTCTAAGTAACTGCCAATGTTGATAAATCCAACTTATACACTGTGACTGACAAACATCTAAAAGGACATACTTAGATCAAACTAGGTGTTAAAACATATAGTAAATAGAAAAACAGATGGAGTTAAGGATAATCCCTTATGTATTTACCTTGCAAACATGCAGACATACGTGCATCTGAGCGAAATGGATTTATTTTTTATGGGCTAGATAATTTCAAGTCCTGCTAAGAACAGTTCCCACATTTCACTTTCTAACTCGGTTATTGTGCTCCAGTTGATTGGTCACTCCCAGCAACACACTCCCCCCCTTGCGTCGGGTCATCCAAGTAAAGCATGGAACGTGATGTGCTGCCCGCTGCGCGTCTGCAGTCAGTGGAGACGATTTACAAATGGCCATAACGAGTAAATATGTCAAGAGCAGGTGACCCGAAAAACAACAACAGCAGCAACAACAACAGTAGCTGCAACAAAAAACAAATCACAGTGTGCTAGCCGAAAGTGTTCGACCTGGCGATACCCTGTACTCACGTATAAATTACACTATCTCATATTTACATCTACATATGTAAATATCTATGTAAAATAATCTGTTCGCAGTGAATAACTGAGTGTATTGGTTTTGCGCAATGTCTACTTTGTCCGACTTACTGCTAGAGACTTAAAAAGTAGAAATATATACATGTATACAGTTTTAATTTGTGAACAGAGTAAAAGAACACACTGTATAATGAAAAAATAATATCCTTACATATCATTTTTTCTAGGCACTTTAAAAATAGACGCGTAAAAAACCGCAGTTCAAAATAGAATCTTTCTTTCGTGGAGAACTCCGCAGGGTTCTCGAATAAGAGAATTAATCAAATTTGGTGGCTTAAAATTAATATCTAATATTATCTGAGATATAATCAATAAAAAAGAAGAAAGTTCATACATACAAAGTACATACATATGTATGCATGCATAAAGGATTAAGATGGCGTTGTCTGTTACAAAGTTAACACTAACTGATTATACCCAACTTTAAGGTCTATATGGTATTAAAGGCTTCAGAGGCCGGCGACAGCATTAACAACATCAGACATGAGGAGCATACAGGGATACAAACAAAAAAATATATATAAATAAATGCGACGGGGGGAGGCAGCGGGCAAAACACCCACAAGCCATTCGGCCAACGGTGCATGTGTTTCCGGTTGCACTCAGCGGCAAACGGTTTCCAGTGTAAATTGGTCAACTAAATTATGCAGCATCAGTTGCACCAGTAGTCAAGCTGTCAGTTTGCCCCCGGCCTAGCCTTAGCCCCCCCTCCCTTAGCCATGCGGCGCCCACGGTGCCCAGCAACAAAAATGCAACACAGCAGCAACAGCTGAGTGAAATTTGCATTTTATACAATTTTAAAGTATCACCCCTTGTGTGTGAGTGTGTGTCAGTGTGGGTGTGTATGTAGCTAAGTTTGGAATCCCTGACCAAATTTCAGCTCTACAATCACTTAGATGCATTTAATTGATAACTTATCGCCAAATGTCAATAGCCAAAAGAAACGTTTACATTTGGATTATTCTTTAGTAAATTTAAGTCTTGATTGTAACATTTAAGACTTTAAGATTAATAATTATTGTTGATTTTTATGATATTATTTTGAAAATAAAAGACATTTAATTTGCATTCTCCATGATTACATTTATTCATGAAATCTATTCAAATAGTTTTCGATAAAAATCAGTCAGTGACTTTTATTTTTGAGTCACTTTATAAAAGTAACTTTCATTTCTTGCAGTGTAGGGGAGTCATTATAGAACAGAAAGGTTTATATGTATGTATATACTTAATGAGCTTGAAATCAGTGACGATAAAAAAACCAATAAAAGTGCTCTAGTCGGAAGTGCCTGACTATGAAATACCCTATACACTGCGCCAAGCTGCCGTTTCAAACATTCCAGCTTGCTTCTATTTACACATACATACATACACAAAAACACACACACAAACAGCCACAAAGTCCAGTCAGGACAAAATGTGCTGTATATAGACTAGAGACCAAGGTTGTAAGCCGGTTTCGAACCGAGTCCCAGCTCAGAATTTCAATTTTTTTCTTACTATAAATTGCATTTATGTAACCATATTTGGCAGTTGCTCATTTTAATCAGGGATCAAATTCATGTACATATGTATATGAAAATATGTATTGCTTGCAATATTTGCAGTACAACTTGCAGTTATATATCATAAACTGAATTGATTCAATAGCATGTTAAAAAGCCTGGTACCAAACCTAAACACAGGTAATTGGTTCGAGCCATGAACCGAACCACTTGCCATTTTTTTGGGCTTGCAGACCTGCTAGAGGCAGTCTTCTTTTAAGTACCAAATAGACTTTTGTATAACATAAGCAGATCAAGTTTATTATGGTCTTTTATCTGAGTACACATCTAATTTTATTGTGCACGGTTTTTTTATCCGGTTTTGATTTAACCCGATTTGAAATAGAATTTTATTTTTTTTCACACGCTTTTCTTGAGTACGATTTATCTTTTTAATAATAGAATAATTGATTTAAACTATTCAAGTTAATCTTCTCGCTTTTGATTTCTACCAACGGAAAGATTATGAATGTTTACTATAGTTACTAGTTTGTTGAGCTTCTAGGGTATATGCTCTAAAAAGAGTATCTAACTTTTTTTATTAAATAAATTAATGTGTATACACATTATATTTGTGATTTAATAAGGTAAACATAACTATGAAACCAAAATAAAAAGGTAACTATTTGTAACCAAAATCCGTTTATCAAATAATTTTTTAATAGGTTATGAGATATGGAACCGTTTAATTAGAGATATGGAAGCTTACATCAATTAGTAACGAGAAACGTATCAACGCAAAAAAAGTTTATATAGAATTCTCGTATACAAACTCTTTGAACAAGTAAATGGGCCACACTCCCGATTTCCGAATAACTTTTCAAAATTGTTTGCAAACCCAACTTTTCTGTGTGGATCGGGTCCGAGCCGGATAATGGTAGATGTGGCTCATCTCCAATTGCAGCGTGGGAGCTGGGATGCTTGGGAGGCTTCATAAAGCCAGAAACATATGTTCGTGGTCTTTATTTGGTGGTCAGCCGTGCGCTGGCCTTTTAACCGCTGGATGTTTGTCACTTGTAACCACGACGGCCATTTCCGCTGGCCAGTCGCCATTTTTTGCAAGTTACGCAGTTGTAAAATCTCTGTCAATTGATAGGCCATGGCAACGGGCTGTTCAGTTTGGTCAATGGCCATAATTTAGGGCGCGGCGGGCGACTACCGAAAAGTGCATTGCAGATTGCCTCCGTCTGATGGAAGCACAAATAATGGGAAAACATAATGCAAAACAGGAAATAAATTATTCTGCTTGCTCTTGATATTGCTGAACCGACTCACTGAACTGGCAGTCGGCATCTATGGGCCTGGATCTGGGCCTGACCCTAAGCCAGCCATTCTGCGCAGACAGAAGCAGGCAGCGTAATAACAACAATCAGCAGCATTTTCCTCTGCTCCTGGTGCTGCAGAATGATCAGCATGAATGCAAATCATTATGATTACAGTAGTGAACAAAGTTTCAAAACCTAACTATGTATGTTCTCATGTACTTACGTATGTATGAATGTATGTACGTCTGTCTGTATATATGGCTATTTGGTTTGACCAACAAACTGGTTTGGAGCGCTTGGAAAACCATGTTCGAAACATTGAATTTCGAAATGGGCCAAAACTGTTATCTCCATTTGAATTGTCCAGCTGATGTTTAAATATGTTCGTATTGCCGTTAAGACTTGGGGAAATTTGGATTGGCGTTGTTCACCAGTGTCATCATTATTATCATTGTGAGGTTGGCTGGGCTAATTTTGTTTGATTTTGATCGAATTAGCGTAAAATTGAGCGTTCGGCAACTTTGGGAGCCACCGGGTCGCGCTCAGACGGCAAGAAGGTGGCCCGGGCCAGGGACGTGTGCTGATTGTCAAAGCCGAAGTTCAGCTCGCAGGCCGCGTGCGGGGCATTAAGAGGCGTTGATATTGTGCAATACCCAGGCTGCAGCTGATGATTTGCATGGGCCTTAGCTCAAGCCCATCAACAGTTGCTGGCTCCGTCGCCACCGATCTGGCGCGTAATTGGCCAAGTTATTATGTGCTTTCTGCCTGCTCCTTTGGCAAATTGATTTTGCTTCGTGCCTCATCAGCAGCGACAATTGCCCTTGCCCTGGCGAGCTCATCATGTTGCTGCCGCTTCATAAGCACACGTAGCTAGTGCCCCATGCTTCACTTCCAAACTTCTTTGGGCTTTGCCATTTTAATGCTGCTGCTTTTGCTGCTGCTGCTGTTGCTACTGACGTTTTTTGCGGTTTCACACTTTGGTTAAGGTTTCATGCCCTTCGCACTCAGGTGGTTGCCGCGGCCAGGTAATAGGTCAAACCAGCAGCGCCGCATCTTACATGCAACGTTAACGATAGGTATCCAAGATGAATGTTTTAATTGATTAATTTCAGGCAAATACAAAAAAAAAGAGCTGCATTAAACTTTTACAAATGTATTGCTTGTGGTTACAAAGATCTTGGTCATTCTTATCTACTTAATATACTTGTCCATAAACTTTTTGTGGAAATCCGAACGCAACGCGTCGTTGACAAAGTGAGTCTTCTTTTCAGGAGCCGAGCGAGCGCAGTTCTTAAACACAACATCGTCATCCCAACGACGCTTAATTTTTAGATCGCCGCCATTGCCAGACGTGCGTCCAGCAGCTGAAACCGCTGTTCCGGGCTCATAGTTGATTAGTGGATTGCCCGACAGAATGTTTTCCATGCGTATACGTTCGTCCTCTTGTTTCTTTTCGGCTTCACGACGTGCCGTCTCTTGCAAGCGCTCCTGTTTGATTTTCTGCAATTCGGCTAGCAGGGCTGCATCATCATTATCCGAATCGCTGTCCGAGTCCGAGCTGTCATTGTCCAGCGGCTCATCTGCATCGAGATTGGCAGCATGCTGTTGTTGCTGTTGTTGTTGATGAAGCTGCTGCTGCGACAGACTTTCCAGTTTAGCCCGTTTGTTTGTACTGCTCCCACTAGCATTTGCCTCAATAGCCTTTCGCACAATCGAGGGCAGTGCCTTACCCGAGCTGTTGCCAGAGCGTATGTCACGCTCACGTTCCTCGAGTTCTTTGCGGAAGTCACGATTGCGAGTCTCTTCGCTAGTTCCTTGGCCAGTTTCTCTACAAGTATTGGCGAAACGTTGTTCATTAAATGGTTAATATATGTGAATATACAAATATTTATATATATATATGTGCATACCTGTATTTAAGTTTAGTGTGTCCGGGCAAGTCGCGACTCGAATACTGTTTACTGAGTGCACTCAAGTCTTTTTCGCCGCGTCCAGAGCCACCGCGCGCTGGATCAAATGTGGGGCGCGCTGCTGTAGTCATTTTAAGTCTTTAATTTTTAGAAAAATACTATAAAACAATTCGACGCAAACGGCTTCAATTAATTTTTACTTGGTTTGGCTCCGTATCAGCTGCTTGCTGACTTTTAAGCTATGAGTTTCGATATTTAATATCGATATATTTGTACACAAATACAACGTTCTCATAATTCGCATTAAATTTCCAATAGTTATTGAACAAGCAATGTCAAACATTTATTACGAAAGTTGGGAAAATAAATTATTTTGTTGAAGTATTTAAGCTGATTGCATTTTATACTATTTCTCAAAATCTAAATCAAATTAAAATTTTATTGCGTCGTCTTTCGATTGTTTTGGACCATTTAACATTTCATAAAGAAAACCAAAAATGCTTTTTAGTGAGAACTATTGAAAAATATCGCAATGTCAAATACCGATAACTTATAATGGCTTCTTTCTAGTGGTAGCGTTGCCAGATATTTAAGTAAAACCACGCGAAATTTGCCAATAATAAATAAACATGCCACTGGAGCCCCAACGCTTCAAATATTACAAAACACAACTGAGCGATTTATTGCAGAGTGCAACAGCTCTCATTCGCAACTACTACGACGCATTAAGCTTTCAAACACCACAGCTCACTGCTCAAGCGAATCGCATTTGGGAGCTCAGTCAACGACAACGTTTAGTCTCTGGGTAAACACACTGCATGTACATATTTATGCTTGTATCGCGAATTAATTGCCAGAACATTCCCACAGAATCAACGAAGCGGCTGCCGCTACACTGCTCTCAGCTTGCCATGACGCATATCAACCCATTTACCAGTTCATGTTAGTTTTGTATTGACAATACCCCAGAATAAAGCAAAACTAATTGTAAATATTCGCAGAAACCAGCAGCATAAAACTGTGGCTGAGGTTGCTATCCTTGTGGCAGATTTTGAGCGAGAATGTCAGGTTCTGACAGAAGAGCTAGGACAGGCGGAAGAGCTGAGACGGTGTACACTTGCCGAATGGAGCTCTTGGCTAGCACAAGCGCTTAGCGTGCTGCAAACGCAAGCCAAGTTTTTGGAGCTGGATTCACATTGCCTTCTGCCTACGCTAGTGCAGAGCTCAACACTCAAAAAGTTCACACAAGATTTGGAGCTTACAACGCATTACAAGGCTAAAATTATCATGGGGTTAACACAAGCCGTGCGCCGACCAGAGCTATTGCCTTTTACTTTGGCAACTTGATGGTTTCATCCAAATACACCAAACAAGTTATTAGAAAAAAATTCGAATGATTTATTTGTTTAAGGCTGTCATCTGCAATAAACGAGTTTTGTTGCCAATTCTGGCTGGATTTCCTCTAGCATTTCCAGCTACTGCCGCTCGACCAACCACGGTTACGGATCACAAAAACACAAAACAAAAACAAAAAAAAACAATACAACTTTGAATTGTTGTTATAAGCACTGCAATACTTGAAATTTATTTAAACATTTTTAATTTGGTGTTGGGTTATTCTTTCTGTATGTTTATGGTTTTTATATCTTCTTGCAAGAAATTGCCAAGTGCAAAACAACACCTGAAAGCGCAAAAGATTTGTTTAATTTTAAATAGATTTAATTGACCAGCCAATAACTCACATTCTTAACCAATCCCAAGCGCGTTGTACTCCTAGCGAAGACGTCTAGCTTCACGTTCAGATTCGAGAAGGGTCAGAATGTCTCCCTCACGCACGGGTCCCTTAACGTTGCGGATGATTTGACGGTTCTGTTCTCCAAGGAACTCCACTTTGACTTGTGTACACTGGCCCTGGGAGCCGGTACGGCCAAGAACCTTCATGACGCGAGCCCAAACAACTGGTTTGTCCATGTTTTTTGTGTATTTTCAGTAAGCTTTTTCGTAGAGAATTCACGTGCGAGTTGCGTATCAATTGACAGACGCAAGCAAAAAGGAAGTTGGCTGATTGTTGTTTCAACGACGTTAGGGTGGCTGCGCTAGGCACAGTGTTGCTTTGAGAAATAGTGTTGTGGACTGTTCTGGGTGAAGTGTGAAATGCTATATATTTGCATTCTGCCACTCACTGGGTTATAAAAACAGCACTTAAATCTTTGATTAAAATGAGACAAATGCATAAAAAAGTGAATTTTCTTTTATAATTTACAGGTAATTGAATTGAATATTTGACAGATTACACTCAGTTACAACACTGACAAAATGCTCAGTATTGCCAGACTACAACATAAAGAAATATATTTATCTAAAATTTGAGCATAATAGATTTATATTATAGGTTATTTAAATGTGTGAATAAAAGTTTTATTTATAATGAGATTCGCTAAGCCTTCTGCTGGGTCAAATTATTGCTTGACCGCACTTTGTGACAGCCCCTGACAACTCTAAGCTGTCAATTGACGCGGCACCACGTAGACATTTGACAAGTGAAAGTCGGCAGAAATCGTGTTACTTCGGCTACACGCATTGTTGCTGGTCGCCCATTCGGTTAGTTTCGCTCATACGCGTTGGCTGCCAGTTGCCTATCGGTACGTTTCCGTTGCTGTCTTTATTTTTCGTGTACTCGAAACCATAAGTGAAAGACAATTAATCAAACAAAATGAAGAACCTTATGTTCTTGCTGTTACTGGTACTGCCCACCATTATTTGCACCTTCAGCGCGCGTAAGTATTGCAGCCAACAAAATCACAGCAACTGTTGTTGCTTTTGTTGTATTAGCCGACAGCAGCAGCGGCTACGTGGCAGTCTCTGTGGCCATTGTCTGTGATTATTTGAAGGAGTAAAGGGGGCAGCCAAAGCCTTTGGGTGACTAATTTGTCAAATTTGTATGTTGTCATTTTTATCCTGTCTCCACATTGCCTGCGCCTTTGCTGTTGCTGCTGAGAGCGAGAGAAAAGTGTTGAGTTGGCACAGACTCAATGCTTGCATACTTCGGTCTCGGTCTCATTCGTGTAATGTTTTTGGTGTTGCAGCAAACAAATTCGGTGCCTATGCGGCCGAGGCTGTCGAAGATGATCTAGTTGATGTGGATAGCGAAGAGGGCGCTGTGACGGGTGAAGATGCTGAAGCGGATGATGAGTCTGACAGCGGGAGCAGCAGCACTTCACCTAACGCAGACACCTATCTACTGTTTACAAAGCCACTGCATACTGCTGGCCAACAGCTGGATCTGCCCGGAGGCAAGCCCGTCGAGTTTTTGATTGGCTTTACCAACAAAGGTCAGGAGGAATTCGTCATCGAGTCTGTGGAGGCCTCCTTCCGTTATCCCATGGACTTCAACTATTTCATTCAAAACTTCTCTGCTGTGGCGTACAACCGTGAGGTGAAGCCTGGCTTTGAATCAACTGTCTCGTATACGTTCCTGCCGTCCGACCAGTTTGCTGGCCGTCCCTTTGGTCTAAATATTGCTTTGGCGTACCGTGACGCCAACGGCATCCAGTACAACGAGGCTGTGTTCAATGAGACTGTGCTGATTTCTGAGGTGGACGAGGGCTTGGATGGCGAGACATTCTTCCTATATGTACTGCTGGCGGGCATTGTTGTCCTGCTACTGGTCATTGGACAACAGTATCTGCTGGGCAGCTCTGGCAAGCGCAAGCGCGCCGCCGCTAAAAAGGTCATTGAGACCGGCACTGCCAACGACAGCAACATTGATTACGACTGGGTTCCTCAGGAGACACTGCGTGCGCTGCGTAAGTAGTATACTGCAACAGAATCCGCAGTTTGATTCTTACAATTGTTTGCATTTAACAGAAAAATCACCGCCCAAATCAAAAACGCCAAAAACATCGCCCAAGCCAGGCAAGCAGGCCAGTCCCAAAGCCAGCCAACAAAGCCCCAAGCAGCGCAAGGTGAAGCGCTCTGCGGGTGACGACTAAAGACTGCGCAACCTGTAAAGCTGCACCAAACAGCCCACTCACACACAAACCATAATTCGTACAAGAACATCCAACATTTGCTTGCAGTCTAATATTATGATTATTACTTTTTTTTTTGGTCAAATGCGATTGACAATGTAGAGATTGTTAGTGTTTAGCTCACAACTACACAGAGATGACAGCCAGGTACCGTGCTGTTCAAATTTAAAATATTTGTAAACGTTAGCAAATTGGTTTTTTATTTTAATTTTTTTTTTCGATTCAAACTGCCACTGCTGCAAGTACATCCGAAACGGGCCTAACTTTGTGCCAAGCCGCATAATTGTCTTCGTTTGTTGAAGATCCCAGGGCGAGAGCAAAAGCATCCAATTATAAATAGACATTAAATAAGCATTATTATTTTTTATTTCTTGCGTTTTTAGATGGATGAATGTTTATTTTGTTTGCATACATGTATCTTTAGCTAGAGATCCGTTGTCTGCAGAGCACATAGCATTTAATGAGGAAAATTTCCCAAAAAGTAATAAAAGAATAAATGTGAGAAGTTATTAATAAATATACTGTATTTTGGATTAGGCTAAAATTGTTAGTGTATTTAACATAAAACGATTGTTTAATAACTCCAAATGCATAAGCGAGTTAACAAAACGTCTTAAATAAGATTGAGTAATCGCATTAAGTAGATTAAACAATTTAACATTGAAAATGAGTAGAAAATTGGCTTTGTGCAAATTTATAAAATAGTCAAAGGGAAGCGTCTCCAACTTCATAAAGTATAAATAAATATGCGTGATCAGGACATTTCAATAGCTCGATGACAAGGAAGTGACTAAAGCCACCAGATGCCTCCCAAAATTAAAAGATTATATATAATTCGACTGCTAAATTGAACATGTAGCTGGGTAGCGCAGTAAGCTGAGTACGAACTGAGTCGATTAAGCCAACTACAAAAGCTAGAGGCTTGAAATTTAAAATATATAGTCTCGTATATCAGACGCATAGTTTTGTCGAATTTTCGCTTTGTTTTTAATAATTTTGAAAAAAAAATCTGTTTTGAGACATAGGTTTTTAAGCATAGCTGAAATATTCAGAGATCTAGATTCACCCAAATTGGTGAAAAGGTTTCTGTATGGTATATGCAGATAAAATAGATAAAGCTTTTTGGATATCTCCCACATGCCCCCACAATTGATAACAAATTTTTAAAGCTAGAGCCTTGCGACATGGTTTATACATTTGGGAGCCAAGTCGAATCCTACGAGCACCGATGCTATTCAAGAATAAATATCACACAGTCACTGTCGGACACTCCCGACTAGAACACTTTTACTTGTTGGGTATATATATATGTATATGTTACTTTTATCTAGAGCAAACTCATATGTTTTTGACTATGACTACCATATTAAAGTTCAAAATCAAAGCCATGTGATGCCAATAAGTGCCTATACGTCTTCTTCAGGTCTGAGAATTACCAAGGAGACCTATTTCCCCAGGCGACTTACCACACTGATGTATTCTTGTTATATCTTTTTCTTTACCCATTTTCAATCAATATATGGTATTAAAATATTGAAACTTTTATAGAATATGCCTGGTTTGAAAGATCTAATAGATAAATTCGAAAAAACGTCAAAGAAAACGGACACTGTTTATGCTAAGGCTGAGCAATTGCAGAAGGTGAGTTACGGTCCTTCCTCTTTTTCGTCACAACATCATTCGCAGAAGTCATTGTGCCAGTGATGGTAATATAGAACGAACCACGATCTGACCACGGATGCACTGATGTTCTCCATGTCTAGAATACAGTTACCCCGAGTGTCCTTGTCTCCTGAATAGATTTGCGACAGTTGCTTTTCGATTTACAGTTACATGTGGCTAGTTTCCTTGAAAAAAAGATCTAATTCGTGTTTTTTCTCCCCAAAACCAGGCCCATTTGAGCACTAAGTGATCATCGAGCCCAGTAGATCATTTACTGCTTCGTTCCATAGAATTGATGAGAGGAAACACCCCTATGCAAAAATAGCGACTAACGAAATAAGAACTTTTAAACGATCCCAGTGGTGCCTCAACTGGTAAAGTTTCGCCAAGAAATCGATAATGATTGACCCCCAAGCTCGTTAGAGCGTCGATGATTGTACTTAAAGTTACGTTGTTAAAAGCTTGGGTTTTCCTATAATTGTGGCCACGTCATGTAGGGCTGTTTCAGTTTACCTGACTCTCTGTATAGGCAGTCTGAGTGTGGGATGACTACAGACTCGGAGGTCGACGTTATTTGCGAGTATTAGGGCTTTTTCCGCCTAAGGAATGATGACATATTTGTTTTCAAGTCGTGTCCCTGGAGCTGAGCTGAGTGATTCGTAGCTCGAAGCAGTCCCCAATCATCTGGCTTTCGTAAGTTGTCAAAGGTTGGACGAACTTTGAATAACAACTACATTACCCTTGTATTATCAAAGGTATTTTCGATCTCAGCGCTGAAATTTTGCCAAGTAGTTACCTATGCTGGTCTGCATTGATAAAATCCCTAGATTGCTCACCACTCAGCGTTTTGGCCTTTTTGAAGTGTTTCCGAGAGGGGTTTCAAAACATTGGATCTCTTTGGAATATTGCCCTAATAGAACCCAACTAGAATTGAAACATTTTTCGTTCAGAATATGAAAAATAAATCAAATGCCAACACAAATGTCTTTATTTTTATTATTTGTCGAACAATTGTTGTAAAACTGAGAATCGTTGTGGGCCAACAGTTTAATGTTTGGCTATTGAGTTTATATGGGCTATCGCAAACGCACTTCTAAATTAAACCTAACTAAACTAAAATAATAAATTAATATTGTATACAAGGAAAAGCTGCCTAAAGGGAGCCGAAACTAAACCTAACCCCATCCATAATTAAAAGAAAATATTTGGTCCAGAACAATTTTGTAATGTAGAATATAAGAAAATAAATTTTACTATTCGAAGTAGTACAAATTGTGAAATTTTAACCAAAACTGGAGTTAGCGGGTGGGAAAGTCAAATTTACGAAGCGAACTTAAAAGAAGACATTGGTTGTCGAACCATCGAAAAATTATGTTAGGTTTGACAGAAAAAATTACAACTCGTTCCCTTTGTTTTTAATATTATCCATAAAATTATTCTGTGGCTATTTTTCTAATTTTTTCCATTATATTCCCATCAATTTATATAGTTCTTGCTTTGAACGTTGGGTGTGGAGTAGTTTCTTCAGGTGTGGAGCCTCAATTGCTGTTAAATTATACACAGCATTGGTAAGTCGATACTTTAAGCAAAAACTAATCGTTGGACAACAGTTGGCAGCACTCAGTACTTGGTACTTTCGATAGCAGCGCACAGTACTCGATACCTTCGATAGCAAAACAATAAAAATTACGAACGATTGACGATGACGAACGTTCAATGAGCAATATTTAAACAAATTAAATAAATCATTAACGAAATAAAGTGTGCAACCAGTGCGCGCGCTTGCACCCATACCAATTAACGTGCATTTACGCCTCCGGGCGACTTACAGTCGCAGCTCCGTCTCCACAGACCGTCACGTAGACGTTCTGCAGTCCCCGAGTCGGAGGCCATCTCACATTTTACAGAGGCGTAAAGATGACCGCCTCGGACAAGTATACGTATCAGCGGACTGTGCTTTGCTTAGCGCGCGTACTGGCAGGAATTCAGCCCACGCCATGGGACAAGGTCGGTGTGCAGGGGGTGTGTTATGGTTGAGCGGTGTGTGTTGATGGTGTCTGCTTAGGGGAAGGAGTAGGGGGAGACAGTGAACGCAAATTGAAAATCGAATTTTCGCGCAACTAACGTTGACCTTGGACGCAACAGACATGCGTGTAGTGACGTCGGTGCCTCAAAGGGAGGGCGGGTGGTCACAGTTATATATGTTTTTGTTGTTGTTGCTGCTGCTTATCGCGGCGTATCCGCTACTCACCTTTAATATCCTGTATATTTGCGTATTGCTGCCACAGGTGCAAACACTCTTCCGCTACTGCCCGCAGGAGAATGCATCAGGCGTATTTTGTTTAGACTCAAGAGCACAGGATGCTGTCATTGCATTGGGCATCTACTTCCTGGAAGGCGGCTGCCAGCATGAGTCACAGATTGTGCCCTATCTACTGCGGTTGGCCAAGAGCCTACCCAAGGCAAGAATACATGATGAACGCAATAGCAAAGTAGAGCGTAAGTGTAGACGATGCCTTTCAGAAAATAAATTGCATCAACTGGTGTTCATTGATTATTCCTAGGTGTGCGCATACCCGCGGCAGAGAAGTTCAGCTTCTGCCTGAACACACTGCTATCAGACATAGCAGCCAAATGTCCGGATTCACGTGAGGAGATCATACTAAATCAGGTCGAAACGCTGGGAACGCTCGCTAACATTGTCAAGCCCAGCAAAGACAGCAACTCGACACCACCGCCCCTTGTGCTGTGCAATGCAACGGTACCGCTTCTGTTTGGTCTGGCGCGATCTATGGGTCGATATGCCAGTAACAATCCGCCGCTGCTGTGTCGCATATTTCCGCCCGAACGGCTGCCCATACAGCGTTCTAGTGCTGGCGGCAATGGCACCTGTGGCGGTTCCTTTAGCAGCAGCGAACGACTCGCGACCACACAGTTTCGGCCGATCATACCACGTTCCATGTCAGGCAGTTTGGCCCACAGCCAGGTGCCATCTGATGAAAGTCGTATACGTCCAGCAGGTGGCAAGCAAAAGCCGTCTTTGCAAAGCTACTTCTCGGTGCCGTACGATCCGCGTACGCATTTTTTCACACGATACGGCTCCAGCTTCAATCAGTTTCCCCATATGCGCGTCAATTTATGCGAATCGCCGAGCAAAACCGGTCCAAAGCCGTTATACCGTGTGCCACCATTTCCCATACAGCATTTGCAGACCATCTTTGCTGTGTCCAAGAAGCTACTGACCAAGGACACGCTGGAATATTTGGATGAGCTGGGCAGCGACATATTCTCGCTGCATCTGAACAATGGCAATTGCTACAAGAGCTTCTCGGAGATGCTCAATCTGGTGTTAGTCACATTGTTGCGCGAGCTGCTGCAGCACCAAGTCGATCTTCCCACACCCTTTACCAAGGATGTACAGGAGTTTGTCAAGCGTCTATTCCTCAACGGCCAAACAGAACTGCAAAACAAACAACAGGACCAGGAGCGCGAAAGGCGCGAAGAAAACGGCATTGCAGTTGTCAACAAGTACAAGATCAATGTGATGGCCAATGCCGCCTGCGTGGACCTTCTGGTTTGGGCCATACGCGATGAGACGGGTACGTAAACAAACCTCGCGCGATACTTTCAATATCTCTTTCTTAATTATGACTTTAACGGACTTTCTTTTTATATATATATTTCGACAGGTGATAAAGGCGTGTTTGTTGTCCGTTTTTCTGATTCTATTTAATATTGTTTCAAATATTTGAACCTATACTTTTGTGTCACAAAGCGCAAGAGAACTTTAACTAAAAAAAAAAAAGCTTTTCAAATAAATGCTTGATTTTGGTGCTCTGAAGTTGATAAGGTTTGGTTCATACGTTAGATGCAAAATGAAGCTTACATTTGACTAACTCAAGAATATGGTGAAAAACATACAAATCAGTTCATACAGAATATCTGACAGTTTTATTTGATAAATTGATTCAATCCAAACGATTTCGAAGACGGATCTATGCCAAGCTTTGGGTTAAAAGTGAGTGACAAGTTACCTTTACTAATATGTTAAATAGAAATGAATTCAAATGCTTGAAACATTTGCCAAGTTTTTAAAGCTGCAACGCTTTCGCCTATATTGAATTTTACCCTTGTCTGCAGCCTTGGAGGACTAAAGCATTTGACAGAGGTCTATCTATTATAAACTTAGTTGGCCCGAAAGAAAACTTGCTTTAGTCGAGAGTTCCGATTTAGAGATACCGTGTACGCAGCGGCGAGCTGCTGTAATAAGCATTTGGATTCCTTCAGAACCACAATTTGGTAACTGCTACACAATTTTTATCGTGTTCAAGACTATATCGATTACTCGAAAAAAATCTTCATTACCAATTCTTTAGTTTTTATATTATGTGACATCGACGCATGCATACAAACTGACTGACAGACAAATGTATATGGCAAGATCGAATTGGATGTTGTTCCTGTTTGAAATATGTATACTTTATGGAGTCGCAAATGTTTCCTTCTGCCTGTTGCATACATTTGAATAAACCTATAACTTCTTACTACAAAACAAGAACAAGTTTACAAGTTGAAGTCTATAATTATACCCTTGAATGGGTATTTGAATAAAACGAACGTGAGCGGCTTTGAGGAGCACTTCTCCGTCCCATAAGGTATATATACTCTTGATCAGTATCAAAAACCGATTCAATATTGTAGCTATGTTTGTCAATTTATAATCAGCGCGTACTAGTCTCTGTTTTAAAATTAAGCTTATGATATAACAAGGTTGTTGTATAAAATACTTTCAAGATATCTCAATATGAATATATCAAGTTATGAGCCTTATCTGATCAACATCGGATCACTTAATTAACTACATAGCTGGCATAAGAAGGATCGGTGACAAATTTAGTGTTTGTAATGAGTGTATTTATTATTAATTTTTTAATTATTATATATATATTTTTATTTATTTTATATATTTTATTTTATTTATTTATTTATATCCTTATTTTTGTAAACTAGTAAATTGCACAAAGAAAAATCTTTTTTCCACTCACGTCAAAAGATCAAGGCAGAGTTAACATAACATTGTCAGGGTATATGTGGCTTCGGTGCACCGAAGGTAGCTTTTATTTCTTAGTTATTTTTCTTTGAGTTGATATTTTTTTGCCAAAACGGAATATATTTTTACAGTTGACGTCGACTATAACGTGCCATCCTTGCAAAATGGCTTGCATTTTTTATTAATGAAAGGTCAGGAGCAGTTCCTGTCCCCTCAGTTCCAATCGATTTGTTTATTAATTTTTATGTTTTGTTTTCTGATTACCGATTACTTTTCCGTATTGGTTATCATTTTCGTTTCGCAGTTCGTGTTCGTTGCTATCACGGCATGTTCACGAGTATCATATACAAACGGGATCGGTAAGGATCCCAAACGTCATTTGACCATTGCGCTGCATGCTGCTCTACTTTCCCAATGTTGAGGTTATCGTTTCCGTTTTCCTCTCCCTCCTCCCAATTAATTTAAGTATCGTATGCTACTCATCATATCATCATTTTCAAACACCTAACAGAGGCGGACAAACTGTGCGGACGCTTGTCGCAGAAGTTAAATCTGGTTCTCAGCCATAAGATCGTGATGGATCATATGCCGTTGCTGATGGTCTGCCTGGAGGGACTGGGCAAGCTTGCCCAGAAGTTTCCCAACATTGCGGGCACATCGATATCATATTTGCGCGATTTCTTGGTCGATCCTAGTCCCATATTGGGAAAGCTGCATGCACATGCAATGCAAACGATAGCCCTGCAGAAAAAGGAGAAGGAGCTGACGCCGTTCAAGATTGTGTTGCAGCATTCGGATTCGCGTGCTGTCGTCGACATCTTTGGTGAAAACCAGAAGCAGCCCGGCACCGGACGCAGCGGCTATGTGGCATTTGAGGCATTGCGCGATGCCGCCATAGAGAATCTATCGATTGCCCTGCGCGCTGCCCACACGCTCGACCAGTTTTGTGTTCCCGCCCTTGTGGCAAATGTGTCAAACCGTCTCTTCACCGCCGAAAAGCACGAGAGGTGAGTCCACAATCCATTATATAGTGAATCAAACAGCTTATCGGACTGTCTTGCTCTGCAGCGAATCAACGCTAGTAAGCTTGAACATTATCGTGATGCTGGGCCATGTAGCCGTAGCGCTAAAGGACACCTCGAAAACCACACAGAATATACTGCAGTTCTTTATACAGCGCTTCTGCAAGGTTCCATCGGAGCAGAATGCGTTAATTGTTGATCAGCTCGGCTGCATGATTATCTCGCAATGCGAAACGCACATTTTCGATGAGATTATGAAAATGTTCTCACGCGTTACCGTGCAGTCGGCATCGCTGGCATATACTTCCGATCCGGAGCATCGGAAACAATTCCATCACGTCTCCGATGCGGTGGTCAATGCGCTTGGAAACATTGCGGCCAATATACAGGGCGATTCTGAGATGCTTGAGCTGCTCGGAAAATTGTTGGAGCTGTTTGTACAAATTGGACTCGATGGAGAGCGTTCGTATGACAACACGCCGGGCGCCCAAAAGGCTAGCTCACGTGCCGGCAATCTGGGCATGCTAATACCGGTTATTGCTGTACTCATGCGCCGCCTGCCACCTATTAAAAATCCGCGTCAGCGCTTACACAAGCTTTTTAAGGACTTTTGGGCCTATTGCGTTGTTATGGGATTTACAAATGCTCGCCTCTGGCCCGCCGACTGGTACCAGGGCGTGCAGCAGATAGCAGCCAAGTCGCCGCTGCTTATCTCCCAAACGGCACACAAATCGGATATGCGCGAGCTCAACTACACATTGGCCATTAAGAGCGATTCGGTGAACGAGCTGCGCAGCCAGATACTGGTGCTGCTAGAGCACTCTTCCGACAACGTAGCTGCCTCCATTAACAAGCTTAGCTTTGCCCAATGCACCTACTTGCTCAGCGTTTATTGGCTGGAGATGCTGCGCGTCGAGAATGCCGATGAGCCCAGCCTGGAGCCCATTATGAGCTACCTCTGCGACACGGCACTTCAAAAGGACAAAACTGGCATTTGGCAGTGCGTCAAATGGTGAGTGTGCCACTCATAGATATTCTATGAAGTATATTAATCCATATCTATACATCTACTATAATATATATAGAATATGCATTACATTTTCAAATACTCTTTTTTTTCGCTTTTGCATTGCGTGGGAAGAGCAAGCGGTGCACTCAATTATCTTGTTAGAAGCTTTGCGTCTTCCTACTACTTTAAAAAGCATCAATCGAACATTGAGTTGTATGAAAAACTCAATCTCCATATAAAAAAACTGTTTGTCGTGACTGACTGACTAACTTATTGATTGGCACACGGTGGAAAGTGCGATCCTAAGATTTTGTTGGTGAGGTTTTAAGTTTTGTCCGATTTGCTGCAAACTTATTTTCAAAGCTCTACATAAGAAGCTTATGAATACGTGTTTCAGCGATTTGGGGAATTTAACCCACAACACTGGTAAACTGGCTGAAAACGGTTGTATGAAACTTTTTGTTTACCATTCGATCGGCTTCAAAATCATTTTCAATGATATTTGTGATAATTTCTTTGATACGTTCTTGGGGGGCAAATGCGGGTCAAAGGTTTAATAAACGAAAATTTATTCTTCAGCTAAAACATATTTTTAAATAGAAGTGGAGATCAAGATGGGTATATTTAAATTGTCCACGGGCATGTAATCGATAGTCGCTTTTAAAATTAGTGAAGCTTACTCAATTTACGCAATATTCGTTTCTCTACAAGGGCATTAAATGTTTAACCCATCAACACTCTCTCACAAAAACAGACTTTACTTTTAAAAAGCCTCTCTTAAGCCGAACTTCAATACAATTTTCAAATACAAATTGGTATTTTTTAACAAATGCGTGTAACAGGCAGCAAGAGACATATCTGACCCCATTAAGTATATACGTTCTTGGTTAGCATCAACTGCTGCGTCGATGTGGACATTCCTCAAAAATTATTTGTCTGTTATCTATGTTTACGAACTATCTGTACTAATCCGAAAAACTAATATCGAGCAAGCAAAAAGACAAATATGAAAATTGAAAGTTTATTTAAAAATTATTGATTTATCGGGTTCAATTTAGTACGAAACATTTTCAAACTCAATTAAATGAAAATACCTTAGAACCTAAATGCATACTACTATTTAAATGATCCCTCGAGCGTTCAATATAGATCGCTGTATTTATTAAATTGTTATGATTAAATTTTGCAGCGTGGCGGATCAGGTGTTTGAGAAGTTCCGCAATGTGCTGTACGCCCATGATGAGATCAGGGAGAAGGTCTTGGAGTCACAGGCAACGCTGCTGTTGGTCTACTTCAATCATATACACAAGCAGATCCAATTGGTGGCGGATCAGTATCTGTCGCAGCTGGTGGATAGATTTCCGCATCTGCTGTGGAATCGCCGCGTGCTGTGGTGCATGTTGGATATACTGCAGCTACTGGCGTATTCCTTGTCACTGGATCCCAACGAGGAGACGCCAACGCTTCGAGTCGTTTCGACGCCGTATACGCTGCAGCTGATGGACTCGTTGCCGGCACGTGAGCTGCGCCTTAAGGATTTTGCCGATCGCTGTCAGGGCATTGTGAACGAGGCCATGAAGTGGGCGCCCCGCTCTACGCGCTCCCATTTGCAGGAGTACCCGAACCAGATACCCACCCCAGTGCTAGCCCATCACAGCGGTCTCGCGCTGGCATTTGACTCCGTAGTAAACAGCAGCACCCTGCATCCGGGCAATACATTGAGCACGCTCAGCAAGCGGCCTAGTTGCGTCAACTCGGACACGCCGCGCTTCGTTTCCGTGCTGTGCCTGCGCAGCAAGTACGCTGGCGAAATAAGCGGCCTCCTCTCCGTTCTTAGTGACCAAGACAAAGCCGGGCTGGCCGATCGCCTGGTTAGTGATGTGTGGGGCGCATGTGCCGAGAAAAGCGATGCTAGGCATCGCGGCGCCCTGTGGCGAGCCACCGCCTACCTCATCATCTGTGCGGAGATCGATAGAAAACTGCTGCATGCGGTGGCCAGCTCGCAGCTGGAGCTGTTCACCGAGTCCGCCATGGAAACCGCTGTCGAGTGCTGGCAGTGGGTGCTGACGGCGCGTCAGGATCTGGAGCTGTGCTTCATACAGGAAATGGTTAGCGCCTGGCAGACAACATTTGAGAAGCGCATGGGCTTGTTTGCCTGGGAAATGGAGATCACGCATCCGCTGGCCGCATACGAGGGCTGCAAGCTGGTCAGTAAGCCCATACTGATAGCACCGCATCTGATTTGGCTGCAGCTGCTCTCAGAAATGGTGGACACAGCTAAATACTGCAATCGTGACAAGGTGGAAATGTTCTGCCTGCTTCTCCATCGCTGCTTACCCATACTAAAGAGCAGTCGCCAGAATCGCCAGGTGGCCACCGTTGGCTGCCGCTTCAAGCTGCTTCAGTGTGGCCTGTCGCTGCTTCAGGGCAATACCATACCAAAATCCCTGGCTCGCAACATACTGCGCGAGCGCATCTATTCAAATGCCCTCGACTATTTCTGTGGCCCGCCCACGTGCCCCAATCAGAGCCGGGAGCAACTGCTAGAGGATATACTGATATTACTGAAGTTTTGGCAGACAATGCGCAGTGAGAAGAAGCATCTGGTTACTTCGGAGGTCGGCGACTATGATATCACCAGTGCCTCGGTCAGTTCTACACAAATGCTGGCGGTGCGCAACAATCCGGAGACTGCGTCGCTTATCAGCGGGGGCGCTGACTATGCACGCTCCATGAGTGCTACTGGCAACACAGCCGGCTGGTACAACACCATACCACATTCCACTTCCACGTTGTCAAAACGCTCGAATCGCTCAAAGCGCCTGCAATACCAAAAGGACTCCTATGACAAGGATTACATGAAGAAGCGCAATCTGATACTCGAGCTTCTTGCCGTCGAGCTGGAGTTTCTCATTACCTGGTACAATCCCAACAGTCTGACCGATCTGATAGTGCCAGGTAAATATTATATCTTTAGCGCCTACTTGAAGAACTCGAGTCTTTTGTGCTTAAAACAACAAATTCGAATCAAGTCATCAAGATAGATAAGCTTAGCCATAGATTCTCTATATTTGGCTAATTGCGAATACCTCTCTAGAATTCCAACCATTGCATGTGCTGTTTCTCTCTTCCTATCTCCCTACCTCTTTTTATATGATATACGTAAACGTGTTATGCATAAATGCATAGTACATATGGTACCGCACTTTGTTTGCTCTTTTTTCTTTTCACTTTTCCACCAATTGCTAACTAGTTGAAAAATACAAATTTACATACATAAATAGATCTTCGAAAATAAGTTTGAAGTCGAAGTCCATACTTGCTTTACGATTGGCATTTTTAAAAACCCAGCCTTGGTGTGCACTAACAATACGAAACATATATATGGAAATATGCCATTCTGGCTCAGTAACAGTTCGGATTATGCGTTGACCGCCACTCATTCAGTCAGTAAGTCAGGAGAATGAGTTTTTTACACTCATCCATGCAGGAAACTAATTTAAAAAAAGTGTGATGCTATTGAATTTTGTACCTGATTGGAAAGCGATCTTTTTCTTAACATTCAAATGTGTTTTGTTTGCTCTTTTTAATTAATATGATGGCGGCTTGGCTTGGACTGGAGAAACCTTGTTGGGGTCTGTTTCCACCCATTTGTGGTCCCTGTGAAAGTTCCATTTCCTATTACATTAAAATCTGGGCCTTGGGGCCCATCAAGAGATGTGACTCTAACCTGCGTTAGGAAGGTTGTATTCATCTCGATCTTATGACAAGTAGCATTATTTAGCTGGAGAACAGATTATCCGACTAGTCTATCGACAGAGGGAAATGCATAATCAAATGAAAAGTTCTTAACTATTGATATTGGTTGATGAAACCAATAAACTAAATCTTCCACTCCACTAAATTACCCCCAGAACGAACCACTTGCAACTCTAATACTTAGTTTCTGGCATACGGATTTGTATATGATATCCAACAAAAACAAAATGGGTTTAACCATGCTAGATATGTCTTCATATTGGCATCCATTAAACGCCTGCGAATTGATATTTCGCTCAGCCTCATAACCATTAATATTCCACTCGAAATTACAATGTTCGGGTGTTCCGAGAGGGAGGACCTCAAAGCTCATAGTCGCACGTTTTCTACCTGATCGATAAAAGCTTTTATGAAGAAGCGTATGTAGATTAAAACTATTTATTTCTCTATGTTTCAATCCACGCAGGTGAGGAACAGATTACCGAGTGGCGCAATCGTCCATACAAGCCAAATGTTTGGCGTGATTATGCCCGTTTGGCTTGGTGTTATAACCCGGCGCTGGCCGTATTCCTGCCGCAGCGTATCAAGAATGCTGAGACCATTGACGAGGAGGTATCACGGCTGGTATGCTCCGATCCGATTGCTGTGTGTCATATACCCGAGGCGCTCAAGTATTTGTGCACCACAAAGAATTTACTGCAGGAGAGTCCCGATCTGGTCTATATACTGTCCTGGTCAGCAGTGACACCCATCCAGGCATTGTCCTACTTTTCACGGCAATATCCATCGCATCCACTGACAGCACAGTATGCGGTTAAGACATTGAACTCGTATCCGGCAGAATCGGTGCTTCCCTATATACCTCAACTGGTGCAGGCGCTTCGCCACGATACGATGGGCTATGTGGTGGAGTTTATTAAGAACATATCGAAGCGTTCGCAGATAGTGGCCCATCAGCTGATCTGGAATATGCAAACGAATATGTACATGGACGAGGATCAGCAGCATCGCGATCCCAATTTGTATGAGGCATTGGATCTGCTGTCACAGAACATAATTGGGTCCTTCTCAGGTGCAGCAAAGCGTTTCTATGAGCGCGAATTTGATTTCTTTGGAAAAATAACAGCCGTTTCCGGCGAAATACGCTCCTTTCCCAAGGGCATTGAGCGCAAGAACGCGTGCCTAGCGGCACTAAGCCGCATCAAGGTGCAATCCGGATGCTATTTGCCATCCAATCCGGAGGCAATGGTGCTAGACATTGAATATAGCAGCGGTACGCCCATGCAGAGTGCTGCTAAGGCGCCGTATCTGGCTCGTTTCCGTGTCTATCGCTGTGGAATCACCGAGCTGGAGACGCGTGCCATGGAAGTGTCCAATAATCCGGTAAGACAGAGACTTGACTAATGTACTGTCTCCCTCACTCTCTCTCTTTTTATTTATTATTTATTCGCCTTGTCTTATGCATGCAAAGAATTCACAGGAGGATGCACACATGACGCTCGGCGTCGAATCATGGCAGGCGGCCATTTTCAAAGTGGGCGACGATGTGCGCCAGGATATGCTAGCCCTGCAGGTGATCACTATATTCAAAAATATCTTTCAGCAAGTGGGCCTAGATCTTTTTCTGTTCCCCTATCGCGTGGTGGCCACAGCACCTGGCGTAAGTAGTCGCGGCCAAGAAAGTAAGAACACATTACCACAGCCATATGTTCTATTTGCAGTGCGGCGTCATCGAGTGTGTGCCCAATGCGAAGTCCCGCGATCAGCTGGGCAGACAAACAGACTCTGGCCTATCCGAGTACTTCCAGCATCAATATGGAGATGAGAGCTCCAAGGAGTTTCAGGCGGCGCGCGCCAACTTTGTCAAGTCAATGGCTGCCTACTCGCTAATCGGCTACCTGCTGCAGATCAAGGATCGGCACAATGGCAACATTATGATCGATAAGGACGGCCACATCATACATATAGGTACCCACGCACACGCGTATAATATAATCCTGTTGACTAACTGTTCGCTTCTGCTACAGATTTTGGCTTCATGTTTGAGTCATCACCGGGCGGCAATATTGGCTTTGAGCCGGATATGAAGCTCACTGACGAGATGGTCATGATTATGGGCGGCAAAATGGAGGCACCTGCCTTCAAATGGTTCTGTGAGCTGTGTGTGCAGGCATTTTTGGCAGTGCGACCATATCAGGATGCGATTGTATCACTTGTATCGCTAATGCTGGACACGGGTCTGCCTTGCTTTCGTGGCCAGACGATTAATCTGCTAAAGCAGCGATTCGTGGCCACCAAGAACAACAAGGAAGCGGCTGCCCATATGCTAGCCGTCATACGTAATTCGTATCAGAATTTCCGCACGCGTACCTACGACATGATCCAGTACTATCAGAATCAGATACCCTACTAGAGTATTATGTGGACTTTGGACTTGGGGATTCGGTTTTGGGTTTTGGATTTCTTGTTAGCCAAATGCTGTATTAATTACATTATTCTTGTTTTTTTTATTTATTTTTTTTATGTTCTTGCGTTTCTGTTTTGTATTTAATAGCTGTTAAATTTTTCGAAGATTTTACGATGCATACTAAATCAATTATAGGGCAATATGTTGTACAATGTATTTGTTACCTACATATATACGTATACAAACATACTTATTACTTATATACGATACAAACGATAAAACTGGCCCCTCGAGTTGTTGCGAGCTGTCCAGAATAATTCCATATACAGAACACACTTATTTATCTACTTGTAATCATAACCACTGTGTAATTGTAATATCCAAATTTTTTCTCTGAGTTTTGGTAAAAAAAAAAAAAACGACAGTTGCGTTTAACAATTTGTGTGTGATTTAAATGGGCGCAAACATTGGTGCTGGCCCACATCTTAACAGAATGACTCCACGTTTAGCAGAAGTGTTATCGAGTTCTGTTAACGCAAAAGTGCTCCGCGCGTAGTGTTGGGAAACGTCAGTCAAAACGAAGAAGCAGACGAGCTGCCAGCCAGAAAAAACAGCAAAGAAGCTGAAAGTACGCCTACAATATCGAATAATTATCGTGCAATGTTCTTTTCATTATCATTCGTCTGCTTTGGCACTTCATTCGTCGTTTAGTTGCTTCTCATACACGAACGAACGTGAACGTGGAACGCGCGGCGCATATTATTTTTCGTTTAGTGAAAGTGTAAGTAGTGTTGGCTCGCTGTTTGTTACAGCAGCAGCCCAAGCAGTAGCGACGTTTTGTGCACAATACACACACGGCCGCCATATTAAAATGGCAAAAAAAGGTAGTCGATAAAAAGCATATGCATAATACACAATACTCTTAAGTTCTTGTCCGAAAGTGCCAAATGTTGTACAACTACAACATAACATGAAACTACCAACCAGCGTGTATGTGAGAACAGCGAAAGTAATTAGAACGAAAACGAAGCAAACGTAAATGAAATGTACGAAAATGAAGCAATGGCAATAGCAGCGAGAAGTTTTGCGCGTGAAGAAGTAGCAGCGCATAGGTAGAGCGAATAAAAAAATATAAACCCAATTGAAGCGAAACCGAACAAAAAGTGCCATTTATTTAAAAAACTACAAAAAATAGAAGAATTCGGTGTAAAAAGTGCCGCAAACATACATATGAAATATCTTGTACAATTTCTGTTGTACAAACAGGGATTCTTTTTTTTTTCACAACGGCAACGAACAAAAAGTATATACGGAAGCAAGGTGTATAGCGAAAGACGAAACGAAACGAAACGAAAAAAGGCAACGGCAGCGGGTCGCGCTCTCTGAGTATGCATGGGAGTGTGTGTATGGATGCATGTATGTGTTAGAGCGTGTGTGTCGCTACGTGTAGCCGTGTGCGTGAGGCGGCGGCGGCAGCAACAGCAGTAGCTGAAAGAAAGCAGTGAAGAAATATGTATGTGAAAAAGAAAAGAAAGAAATGATAGCAGCGCAAAAACGAAAGAAAAGTTATATATCTTATACATGTACAGGCATATGCACATACAAATGTCTGCATGTATGCATATTGTACATAAATAATAAGCAATTCTAGCAATGAATTTTTTTCTGTTTTACCTTTTTTTTTTGTGTGGTCAGTGAACAACGAGCTGAATAAAACATTAAACACACAGATTTCTGCTAATGCAAAAGAAAAAAATTGCGTTACACAAGCACCCCCTTTACCGTTGCGCCGCCTCATCCTTGTTTGGCTCTATATTTGAGAACGAACAAGTGCCTTAATCAGTGTGCGTGCGTGCGTGAGTGTGAGAGAGTGTCCGTGAGCGTGCGGGAGTATGCGTTTGTGCTATTTAATACATAGTATATATGTACATACATTTTTATTATTGAGTTTTTTTTAGTGCTCTTTTACATTCATAGATGAATTGAGTTATGAAGTCAAAATTGTATACATTGATTATGTGTTTACGCGCTGCTCTATCCAAGTACATCAATGTTGCCCACTGCACAGTGGTGTCAGATCAACGCTGGCAAGTGTTCTTGTTGTTGTTGCACTAGAATGAATTGTGAAACAAATGAAAATGAGCCAGAGAACACACACAGACTCACTTTGCAATTGCGCTTGATTATTGATATGCAGTGCAACGAAATGAAATGGAGTAGAATGAAGAAAGGGAATAACATGAATCAACTGCGTTGTGGTATTTGTCTTGTTTATTACCAAAGTTAACAGCTTAACTTAATATGCCCTCGTTTATGAAAAGAACAGCAGATTGAAATGTTTAACTATGAAAAGTCAATAAAATATTGTCTCAACATTTTCATTTTTTTTCTCTTGTTAATTGAATTTAATTAAAAAACACACATGCACGGAGACGCATGCATAGTAACATATGTATACGTATATGTATATGTATATGTATATGTATGTAGCTTTTGGCCAATCCGAATTTTGGTTGTGGTTCAAGGCTATTTTTAATGTTCTAGTGCCAGGGAATGCATTTGTTACCACTTTGAGATGTTCTGCAGACACTTTGGTCTGGTTAACGGCTGAACGGCCGGTCAAAGGAATTTCAATAAAAATAAATCGAAATTTGCGCAAATTTGTCGCTGTCACTCAGTCATTGTTGCAAAATGCAATAGCTAGTGACATCAAACACGGACAGTCACACGTACACATGTACATGTGCACGCTCTCAAGCATGGCCAGAGTTGTCAAATTGCTATGCACGTGTCATGAGCAAGAAGAGCTAAATCAAGTGCGAGTGCGAGAATGAGTGGCCCCTTTGCTTGACAACGGCGTCGCTCTGAAATGTTTAAAACGATTTGCAAGCTTTTCCTTGCCACAGCTGTTTCCATGCACATTGGCTCTGCTTTCTAGCTTGTGTGTGTGTGAGTGAGTGAGTGTAGGCTGGCAACACTTTTTCGCCTGCGTTGTCCTTCGCCTGCGCGTGACATTCCGATACTTTGTACACATTTGCACGCAGCAAACTTTTTATCGATTATTCAACAGAGCAGCCCGATTCGGACCGTGTGAGTGTGTGTGTGAGTGAGGCTTTCGCTTTGTTTGCGTTTGCTTTTGCACAGTTTCCTTACAAATCGATTGGGCGCACAATCAGTGTTGAAAAGCAGCACTAGTTGCGCCCATTGCAGCACTGCCAACTAGGCACCCAACTACGTGGGCGGAGGCAGCCAGGCTCATCCAACAGCAGCAGCAGCCAAAGGCGAATGTAAAATTCGAGCGTTTAGTCGACGCTGACGATGACGCTGGCGTCCTGTGCTCCGCGTGCTATTCGTGTTAATCATTTTTCACGTCAGTGAGCAGCAGAAAACCTGCAAGTTGATTTTCTAAATCAATGTTAAATGTGCTCGTGAAATTTCGCACTTTTTGTATAGTTGGTTTGGTTGGTTTCCTCGTCGGTCAGTTAATCAGTCGGTAAGTCAGCTGCTGCTGCTGCTACGACTGTGACGACTGCTTACATAATTGGTACATTCCCAATCTGCGTGTAGCTGTTAGTGTGTTTGTGTGTGTCTCGTGCGATGACAAACAGTTCGGGACGGTTAGAGGCCGCTGCGAAAGACACACATACAAGCGCACAACAGCTGCTCGGCTAACATTCCTTTTAATTCTGTTAGTTTGCTTTATTTATTTAGGTGCCGTTATAGTGTAAAGCTATTATTTAGCGACTTTTGCCGAAATTTCTGCAAAAAGAAGAAAATTTGTTCTAAAAACTGCTCGTTTTTATAGAAGATAGGGTAGGAAAATCACATATTTTCAATTACTATAAACAAAATGATCAAAAATTTAGTCTGCTCAATAACAAAATAATTAATTGGTTTTATCAAATAAAGTTTTTTTCTTTTTTTGTGCTTAACTCTTTTTTAATAAAAATAATCAGAACAATATTTCCATAAATCGGTAAATAGTTACGGAGGATTTACAAACGTAAAATGTTTAAAATGCAATTGCTTAAGTTGACATCGTCGGAGAAGGAAAGCCTACTTTTTGGGAAAATTCGTCTGGCAGGTAATACCTTCTGTTGCTAGTTTTTAAGTGAATGAAAAAAATAAGTTAACGGTGGATTGGCCCAGTTCTAAACATTTTTGAATGAAGTTTTACAGAACCTTAAAAGTTGCTAGAATGGGTTAATGGTATATTGCAGTTTGCAGTTAGACTTATGTGTGTGGAATCTACAAACCCATAATATGTATATGTATGTGTAGTGAATTCTTTGGGGTCGGGGACTTAAATCTTCGAGCTTCTTTAAGGATCTGAGTAAAGAGAGCATAAAAAACCCGTAGTATCCAAAAAAGTTGAATAAGCCTTATATTGTTTTATTTGTAATCATTTTTTAATGCGATTATTAAAAGCTATTGTTAGGTTTTAAATTTCCTTATTCAGCTAATTCTGAAAATAACAATTGTCTTTTGTTATATAGATTACTAGCGGGTATAACCCGGCCTTGCCCGTGGCACGTATGTTATAAAATCAAAAAAGCTTTGAAAATGATTTTGAAACTGATCGGACGGGAATCAAACAACTTTTATGCAAATCGGAAAACTCTTAAAATTCACCAAAAAAATCATAAAAATGCATTTTCCACCGAAGGAGTTTAGATTTTGCGAGAAATGTGAAACACGTCTCTAATGATTTTTCTTATAGATCTTTGGAAATAAATTTGAACACAAAACGTCATCCACCAAATCTTCGACCCCCATTTGCACCAAGGAGGGATGGATTTTTCAAAAAGTGTGAAACACCCCTTAAATGAATTTGTATATAGATCTTTGAAAATTAGTTTGGGGCCGATCGGATGGTAAACAAAAAACTTTCATACAACCGTTTTCCGCCAATTCACAACTGTTGCGGGTGGAATTTTCCAAATCGTCGAAATACGTATTCATTAAGTTCTTATTGAGAGCTTTGAAAATAAGTTTGAAGCAAATCGGACACAACTTAAAACTTCGCACAAAAAATCTTTAAATCGCATTCCCCACGAAGAAGTTTGAATTCTGCGAAAAGTGTGAAACACGTCTGAAATGATTTTTCTAATAGATCTCTGGAAATGAATTTGAGTGCGAAACGTCACCCACCAAATCTTTGACCTCCATTTCCACCAAGGAGGAATGGGTTTTCCGAAAAGTGCGAAACACCCCTCAAATGAATTTGAACAAAGATCTTTGAAAATAAGTTTGGGGCTGATCGGATGGTAAACAAAAAAGTTACATACAAACGTTTTTCGCGATTTTTCCACACTTGCGGGTGGAATTTCCTGCAACCCCGTCTTAACGTGCACCTACATTGCATAAGGTAACTACAGTGAAAATTTCAGCTTCTTACGGTTTGGGCTGTGCGTTGATCACCAGTCAGTCAGTCAGTC